AAGAACTTAAAGCTTAAGGAAAGTCAGACAAAGGAGATTTAGAAGTGGTAGAGCAACACACTCAGGTGTTACTATGTATGTTGCTGTGCTGCAGAATTTCTGAAATGTTGGCTACTTTAAAAACAGCCTTTAGTGATGCATAAATAGAAAATAATGCTTAAATTAAGTAAGGTGCACTTAGGATACTGTTTGGAAAATAATATTCTTGGGGATAAAAACGCGTCTAGTAAACACTTGTTTACATTTTTTCTCCCCCACTCCCCACACCCCTATGGTATTGATGTTCTCATCTCTGTTCCTGAGGGGCTTATCAGTCCTGGATTCCATGTGTCGAGAGCGCTTATCTTGTACCAGTGCACATGCTTAACTGGACTCATGATAGTGAGGGGGAGGAAGCGTTAAGAACTAGAGGAATGTTGTGTGCTTTGTTGGTGCTGTACTGCACCCTAGCTGCCTCATTCCTTCCTTGTGACCCTTCTGTGAGGTGTCCAATTTTCTACAGATGGACGTTGGGTCTCCACTCTGCCCCCCCCTCTCTCCACCTCCAGTTCATATCTATATGATTGTTTGTTTGGGGTCTTCTCATGCGTGATACCTACTCCAGTCCACATCTCTTGATCACATAGGCTGCTTCTTCCATGTGGGCTTTGTTGCTTCCCAGCTAGATGGCTGCTTGTTTATTTTTAAGCCTTTCAGACCCCAGACACTATATCTTTTAATAGCTGGACACCATCAGCTTTCTTCACCACATTTGCTTATGCACCCATTTGTCTTCAGTGATTGTGTCAGGAAGGTGAGCATCATAGAATACTAGGTTATCAGAATGAAGTGTCCTTGTGTTGAGGGAGTACTTGAGTAGAGGCCCAATGTCCATCTGCTACCTTATTACTTAACATATAAATATATGTACAAAGATATATGTCTCTATCATTATATATGTTTACATATGTGCCTGTATTTATACATCTATAAATGTCCTTTGCCTCCTTGTTCTTTTCTCTATTTCCTTTTACTTTCCTCTTGTCCCACAATCATGTTCAACCTCCATTCGGTTTTCAGTAATTCCTCTCGGCTACACTGCACTTGATCAGCCCCCACAAGGCATTCTACACCCTCCTCACCATTGATTTTAGATCACTTGTTCCCTTGTCCCTGGGTTATGTACTTTTTCTCAGACCTAGTGAGTTTATCACCCACTGCTTAAAACACTTCCCTACCTCTTTAAACAAATGCACGAACAAAAAGCCTTTATCTGATCCTTCAGGTCATCACTGTAACACTAATCATCAAGTGTGCTGCAGGGCAGCTGTGCTCCTTTAAGAAACGGGCTCTTGGCCATCTGCTGCCAAGGGCTTGAATGTGCTTCCTCCTGATCTAGTTGCTTCCACTTGCTGTCAGGTGTCACTTCGCACTGCTGTTCATTACAGAAACTGTGGAAACAACAGTAATGGTCCAGTCTACAGTCTGTTGACTCAACCATGTCAAAGGTTCTGACTGCTAAGAACCGAGTCTAGTAGGATTGAGAAATAAGAAGAAAAGCTATAGCCATGAACAGACTCGACTCCCCAAGGACCTAGGTATATTCCTGTGAAGACAGGTAATTACCAAGTCAAGACTTTGGTTAGCTAGCACTCTAATAAGCCAGCACTATAAGAAAGTCTGACAGCCT